TGATAAGTAATCTCAAGTACATTTTGCATTGAAGAGATGAAGTCTTGAAGCAATTCCATCCCCCTTTTTCCCATCTCAGCTATAGCTTCCCAGTGACCTGAGATTCATACCGTCCTCATTCTCTAGGGAATAACATGAAAGTGACTGTTTGAAAATAAAATGAGGGATTGAAACACTATACTTCAGAAGACAGAATCAGTTACCTGACATTCAATACCAATCCTCACTGTGTTAAGAATGTCAGTGTTTCACATGCCCCGGAAAAGAGTTGTTTCAATACACGCTTCTGTGACTTTATTCAGTTTGGGTACACCTCAGGGAGTTTAATTTCGTGCAAAGCTTTCAGATAATGCTTTCCAGTGACAGGAGCAAGTCCACGTACCATAAGAGAGCACTTAGAAGTTCAGGGAAAATTAAAGCAGCCTGGGTTGCTAAAGCTTCATCAGAACTTTGGCCTTGCCCTGAAGTTAGCCTTCGAGAACTGAGAAAGTAGTGTCGGCAAATCCTGATATAAACATAATGGGATGAAAGATGATCTGGTTGGATCGGGGCTTATATTATAGCCATAAAGGGAAATGGCAATGAGAAGTGGATGTCAGAGATTTAACTAAACTGAACTGATTTCAGGAAAGGCTTAAGAATCAGCCTGGCTGGGGAAAGAGAGGAAAAACACCTGCACTACTAGTCCACACATGAACAGCGCATTTATTTTCAAACAAAGAGCAGATAATGCTCAAGCTTTGGAAGGGGAGATCTATTTTTCAGAGAAAGTATGGACACCTGAAAGAAACACATGGGCCATTGTGTTTAGGAATGAAACATGTGATCTAGGGAAATGCCAGTTTATCCAAGTCTTGGCTGGGTTACTGCTTTGTTAAGAGAAGGGACATATTTTTGAAACAACTGTGATTAACTGAGGTTTAATGTACTTTCTTGTAATTGCCTATAATTTTAAAAGATTACATTGTAGCTTGTAAGCCTGGTTTAAAAAAAACACAAATCAGGTGATGCTTTTTAAAAATACAACATCATATGTGTTTTATTGCCTCAAATTTATCCCCAAATACAGAGATAATGTATGTTTTGGTATTTGCTAAAAGTCGTTTTGTTGATTCAATTTGGCTTCTCTCTCCACCTTTGGTTTCTTAACATGGCTATACCACCATCAATTATTTAATATTCCTCAAAGTTTATGTAATCATGCTCATTGACTAAAAATTCATTCTGCACAAATGGAGTTTCAAGTACTATAAACTTTCACAATTTACCTTTAGCGCGCCATGTTCTCCTTAAAGGATAATATCTGAATGAGTTTTTCTTATACCATTCTAGAACTCATAGACACAAGAACTCTCTCACAAGTTAGCTCAAAGAATGAATATAAATTGTTAGAATTTCTTTTTTATTCTCATATTGTTTCTGAACAAGAGGGGCCTTCCTCTTAAACCCATCTTCTTTGGCTGTGTGACCACAAAAGTTTGATAACCTAGCTTCTGCACCCTTCTTTCCTCTATCTGCACTTCAGTTTGTTTCTGAATGAAGTACAAAGCTTAGTGCTCTTTCTGGAAAGATCTGTGAGCTTTTCTCTTGAGTGGTATTTTGGGTAGTTATTGACTTTTAAGTAACAATTAATTTACCTCAGCTCTTAGAAGATATTATTTCAGCCCAGCTGATGTGGCTCATTGTTAATGTTATTAAAGTTAAACTGGTATAAAACTAATACAATATTGAATGTCAATTGTAATTGGAAAAAAATTTAAACAAGGAAATTCTACCATTTGCAGCAGCATGAATGAACCTTGAAGGCATTTTGCTAAGTGAAATGAGTCAGAGAAAGACCTATATGTGGAATCTAACAAAAAAACTCATATAAAAAGAAATCAGACTTGTGGTTACCAGAGGCAAAGGGTGGGGAGAGAGAGAATTGGAGGAAGGTAGTTAAAAGGGACAACCTTCTAGTAATAAGATCAGTAAGTACATATGTAATGTACAATGTGATGGCTATAGCTAACACTGATGCAGGATACATAGGAAAATTGTTGAGAGTAAATCCTAAGACTTCTCATCACAAGAAAAAATGTTTGTCTTTTTCTTACCTTCTTTATTTTCTTTTTATTGTTTCTATGTGAGAAACTGTATGTTAGCAAAACCTAGGTTGGTATTTATTTTACAATATGTGTACATTAAGCCATCATGCTGGATGCCTTAAACCAGGGGTCCTCAAACTTTTTAAACAGGGGGCCAGTTCACTGTCCCTCAGACCGTTGGAGGGCCAGACTATAGTTTAAAAAAAAACTATGAACAAATTCCTATGCACACTGCACATATCTTATTTTGAAGTAAAAAAACAAAACGGGAACAAATACAATATTTGTATTTGCATGTGGCCCGTGGGCCGTAGTTTAAGGACCCCTGCCTTAAACTTATACTGTAATGCACATTAACTATTTCTCAATAAAACTGGAAAATGTTTCAAATGTTTAAAATCTTACACAATGGAAATTAAAAATTAATTAAAATATGATATTTTTAATATTCACAAATATTTGGAAATTAAATCAAATGAAAAATTCACAAGAGAAATTATAAAATATTTCTGCTGTGCCTGAGATGCCCCTCTGCTTCCTTCTGCAGTGTCAGAGAAGCCGTGGAAACAAAGGCTGATGAAGGTCTTATCTAAATTTAGTCCCTTTCATTCTTTTAACTTTTATTTTGAAATAATTATAGATTCACAGAAAACTGCAAAGATAGTACAGAGGTCTCACATACCTTTCTCTCAATAGTTACATCTTAGTAACCATATTTACTCAACACCAGGATATTGAATTGTCATTTTCTGCCCCATTTGATCACATGTGTATATTCATGAAGCTACCACCACGATTAAGACACAACCATCAGCACAAAGATCTCTCTTTTGCTAACCCTTTATAGTCACATCCTCCCCCCATTATCCCTAAACTCTGAGAACCCTAGTTTGTTCTCGATCACTACAATTTGGTCATTTTCAGAATATTTTATAAATAAAATTATATAGCATGTAGCCTCTTAAGATTAATGTTTTTCGCTCAGCATAATATCCTTGAAATCCACCCAAGTAATTGTATGTATCAATACGCAGTCCATTCCTTTTCATTGCTAAGAAGTGTTCCTTGATATGGATATACCACTGTTTACTTAACTAGTCACCTATTATAGGACATTTTGGCTATTTACAGTTAGGAACGATTACAAATAAAGCTGCTATGAACAATTATGTAAAGATTTTTGGGTGAACCTAAGTTTTCATTTCTCTGGCATAAATACCAGGACTATGACTGCTGAATTTATATGTTTGATTTTTTTAAGAAATTGCCAATTGGTATTGGCACTATTTTTAAAATTTGAGCTGTGACCATAGGTGTGTTAGAAATAGTTCATGTGGTCTTAATTAGCATTTTCCTAATGGCTAGTGATGTTGAACATCTTTTCATGCATTTATTTGCCATCTGTATTAGCCTCATCAGTGAAGAGGAGGTGTCAAAGTCACCTTGGAAGAAGATTATGTGGGATGGGAGACACTTGCTGCCATTTTTAGAAAATATAGTACGATATAGGTCAGTGATGGCAAACCTATGACACGTGTGTCAGAGGTGACACGCGAACTCATTTTTTTTGGTTGATTTTTCTTTGTTAAATGGCATTTAAATATATAAAATAAATATCAAAAATATAAATCTTTGTTTTACTATGGTTGCAAATATCAAAAAATTTCTATATGTGACACGGCACCAGAGTTAATTAGGGTTTTTCAAAATGCTGACACGCCAAGCTCAAAAGGTTCGCCATCACTGACATAGGTGGATCATGAACTAGGCAGGGTTTGGATAGGCAAGTAGCAAGAAAAGGCATTTGAATGTATACTATTGTAATACACTCTGTCATTGAGAAATTTTAGAGTGCAATATTTTTATTTAGTCAAAAATGTATAGCCAGAATAGAAGATATGGAGATATAGACAACAGACCATACCAAGTTCACATAGTAATGTTTCTAGAAAAGAACTTTTACTCATCTCTTTCTTCCAAAACACCCTCCCTCTGGTAATTGCCCACATCTTTTTAACCTCTACTTGTGGTTTTCTTATTTTTGTTTCTTTGTTTTGCAAAAGCATCAATGTTGCTGTTTTTTTAAAATAATTCTTTATTGTTGAAAGTATTATATATGTCCCTTTTTTTCCCCATTGACCCCTTTCAAGCCTCCCCCAGCCCTGCCCTAGGCGCTCACCACTCCATTGTCTTTGTCCATGGGCAATGCATATATGCATACAATTAACCTCCACTCTTTCTCCTCTTCTCTGCAGCCCTACACATCAATTTGTTTCTCTTCTTTTTTTTTTCATATATTTTTATTGATTTCAGAGAGGCAGGGAGAGGAAGAGAAAGATAGAAACATCAATGGGTGGCTCAGCTGATGGGAGCATCATCCTGTACACCAAAAGGTTGCAGGTTCAATTCCCGGTCAGGGCACATACCTAGGTTGTGGGTTTGATCCCTGGTAGGGACACATACGGGACGCAGATTGATGTTTCTCTCTCACATCAAGATTTCTCTCTCTCTCTCTAAAAAAATCAATAAAAACTTCTCCCAATCTCTTCCAAGGAAAAAAATAAAAAAATTATATTGTGACTATATTGTGACAGTTCAGCCTCTGAATGTTAGAGAAGAACATAAGTTCCATATGGTTTTCAAGGTAACCTGAGGAAAGAAGTTTTACAAATGGAAAGTAATAAAAAGGATACCCTAATTTTTCATTGGATTTCAGTATATAGCAATGTATTTCTGTCTATATGTGCCCAATTAAGCACATTTATGGATTATCAACCTAACCCTCACACAATGGCTCTAAAGACAAAGTAACATTAACATGAACAAACTAAGCACAACACCAAGCAAGAAGAAAGCAAGAATGTTGCTTTTTAAATAATTGAAATTATCATTAACAATTATCTTTATTGTGCATTGAGATGTTCCTAGAAATAGAGATACATGTATATATTTTATAAATAAACAAATGTCAACAGTCAAAATAGTTTAGAGACACTGGGCTAAGGCATTGGTAGCACTGTTCTCTTCCCCTCTCCTACCCTGCCCTGCCCCCTTTAGATTGCCCTTGTGAAGATCAGGCTGCTGATTTGAGCTCCTACCCAGATCTCTTGAGTTCCTAAATTTCTCTGTTCTTTCTTCCCCTAAGGTACAGATGCTTGGAGGAAATCTGGCTTTGGTACCAACTGAATGACTTGAGTCTGTTTTTTCTTTGCCACAATTCTGGGTAGATTTCTTGAGTTTGCATCTTACATTCTGGTCTCTCCTCTCAATCTGCAAAGCAAGGAGCAGAAATAATTTCCTAGGATGAATATGCTCCATCATTTAGGCTTGATGCCTACCTGCCTGTCCTCTACCTGATACTTAGGAAAGAGGCTGGCAATCTGTGTGGCTGGGAAAGAACTAAGAGCATGAGAGAGAATGCCAACACCTACAGTTCTAATGAGTTACTTATCTATATAAAACCCTAATATGCAAATAGACTGAATGTTGGAACAACCAAACAACTGAACTGAACAACCAATTGCTATGCCATGCGCTGATCACCAGGGAGCACGTGCAGAACATGGTGGACATCGGCTGTGGCGTGATGGTAGAGCAGGTGAGCAGGGGCACCAAATCAAGGCGGGGCACCAGTCGCTATCATCGGGGAGAGCCTGTAGTGGTTACTGAAAATTCTTTGCTTCCACATGCCGCAGTCCCACCTGGTGCTCATACCCGCTGCCGGTGCCCAGCACCAGTCCCCATCACTCAGCGCCATCAGTGGGTACAAGCAGCAGCTGCCGGCCCCAATTGTCCCTGAGGGCTTCTCCACCTCCCCCTGCTCCTGGGGGCGATTGGGGCAGCAGCTGCCACTGGCACCCGCTACTGGCACCAGTCCCAATCGCTCCATGCCGTCAGCAGGTGTGAGCAGGGTCGACGCCATCACTGTGTGGGAGCGGCAGCAGCAGGAGCAGGGCATCCAGCAGACAGGGGACAGGGGGCTGCAGCAGGAGGTGCCAGGTGCGGGCGCGGAGGATGGGCCGAGACCTGCTCCTGTGCCCACCTCAGCCTTGCAGCCCACAGTTCCTTTCAAGTTGCACAAATTTGTGTACTGGGCCCTTAGTAATATAATAATTTGCTCTGATGATAAAATTCTTAAAATACAAAGTTAAGACTAACTTTATATGTATTTTTAAATAATCATAATGTATTACTCAATGGAAATACCAAGAACCTCTATAATGTACCAAGTGCCTTCCCTAGGGAGAGATACATTTACAGTGATACTTCTTGATTCCCATACTCTGTTGGTCTATGAGTTCCTTCAAGACAGGGATCATACCTATTCGTCTTTGTTTTCCTAGGTCTAGCATTGAAAATAATGATTAGCATTATTTTTAATACACATTGCTACTACTTTTTAGGTACTTACTATGTGCCAGGTTCTTGCTAAGCATGTTTCAAATATTATTCCATTTAATCCTTATAATAATCTTATTACCCTCTCTTTATGGATGAAGAAACTAAGCCCAGAAGCACAATAACTTCCCAAAGAATTCACTCCTAGTACATGGTTGAACTGTGATTTCAACTTAAGACTTCATAATTTTGAAACCCTAACTCCTAATAACTATGTTATAATGCCAAGGAGGAAAGATTTGAAGGGGTAGGAAGAGACCTATAAAAGCTTGCCACTGCCCTGTCCTGGCCGGTGTAGCTCCATTGGTTGGAGCATCCTCCTGTGAACTGGAAGGTTGTGGGCTCAATTTCCCAATCAGGACACAAACCCAGGATTCAATCCCTGTGTGGGAGGAAACCAATTAATGTTTCTCTCTCATCTTCATGTTTCTGTGTGTGTGTGTCTCTCTCTCTCTTCCTACCTCTCTCTCTAAAATCAATTTTTAAAAAAACCCACATATCCTCAGGTGAGGATTACAAAAAAAGTTTGCCACTGCCTTCCACGCCAGAAGTAAGGGCATGTTGCTACTTAGAAAATGTGACTTCCAGCCATGTTTCCAGCTAATTACAACTTCTTTGACATTAAATACATTGGTCATGACATCCTCAGACATGGGAAATCTCTTTCTAACATATGTCACAGAAAAAAATACATTGTAGTGACACAGGTATAAAGTGAAAGGAAGAAATAGGAAACCTGAACTTTTGTAATTTTTCTTTAGGGAGTCTAGTTATTATTGCTGGCACATAAAATGATGCTCTTTGCAAATTCATATCTCTTAATTTGGCACAAAGTAGTAATTTAAAGGAAAAAACTATGGATGGAAAGAAACAATCATGGCTTACAACAGCACTCAGAACCAGAATGATGCAATTTTCATTGCATGCCTCCTCAAGTTGAAGAATTCATTAGCACCTATATAGTACTTAGGTAATTTGAGACAACGCAAGTTGCAATATTTAACCATAAGTTTATTTTGCTTTGTAGTTCTATAACTCCATTTTAGAAGTTTAAGTATAGCAATTATTTCAACATTAAATATAGATTATAAAATACTCATTTCAAGTTCTTTTTCTTTTAAGTCTTGATCAACCATAAAATTTTCTAAGTGATAAATTTGCAAAGGTTTATTCTACTATTACAGTTAGTTTCAGCCATAAAATTGAAAAATATACCATATTGCGGTTTTCTATTAAATTCTAAATAAATTTACATTGGTCTTTTAATGGTAAATAATGCGTAAGGTAACTTTCCAGCTCCTGTTCTCACTTCACTGGCAACAAGGATGGGCCCCATCAGCCTGATATGTAATCAGGGATGGCTATATAATCTAATGCCATCAATCTGATTCTCCTTCTTGGGGATTTGGAATTAAAACCCAATTCTAATTAGCTAAGTCTGCTTACTTGAGTTGCTGCTGCAGGGAAGACTTTTTTCTTTTTCATACACACTAAGAAGCAAAAGTAACAAAGGTAAAAATTTATTATCTTACTGACAAATACTGTAATGGTCTTTCATTTCTGCATCTATCTGCAAGTCCATTTCATTTCTCTTTCTATGTATATCCAAACGTCACCTAAAATACTCCAGGGCTTGAGATTTAGATGTTGCATAAACCATATTTCACATTCTTTGTGACTTTGGAGGCTTCTATGAGATTTCTACAGATTTCTAAGTGAGGGGCCATGAGATAAAAGGATGGGGAACTGATGTTCTTTCAGTCACCTCTGGCTCTGGTTTCTGTTTCCATAGGCAGTAGATTTTGTTGAAGGTTTGAGGGTTTATATCACAGCAATATAATCAGCACTGACCGCTGGGGATACCTTCAGTGACTCCTGAGAGATTTCCATTGGTCTTCACCCACAAAAGTCCTTCCACTTCAAACTTTCCTGCTGAATTCTTTCTCTTTCTCTCTTTAAGAGGG